GTTCCTCAACAATTTGTTATATTGTGTCTTACTGTGATTTTCTTAATGTTTGCTTTGTCTGGTATTTATAAAGTTTATTAGATGATGGGATTATAATTTTCACTAATTTTTCATAAGTTTAACTCTCTCTCTTTCTCTCTCTCTCATGTGTTAGAATGAAAACATCTCCCAACACACTGTCTGTTATTTCTTTAATCTTTTTTTCACTGTTACTTCATTTTGAATACTTTCTGCTGCCTTCAGGCTTACTGATCTTTTCTTTTTAGTGTGTAATCTATTAATTTCTTCTAGTATATTTTAGCTTCTATATTTTAGCTTTAATCTCTAGAATTTCAAAATGGGTCTTCTGAAAATCTTCAACTTTTCACATTATCACATTTTTTATGTTTTCCTTTACCTACTTAAACAATTTCTAATAGGATATTTTACAGACTGCTAATTCTAGTATGCCCCTTGTTTCTTTCTGCTAATTTTTCCTCCTGAATGTAGATCATATTTCTTTCTTTTGTGCCTGATATTTTATCTGTGCTAGATATTGTGAAATTTATTGAGCATTGTGATGAATTCATTGTGTTCCTTTCAACAGTGTTGAATTTCTTGAATATAGTTTAAGTTACCTGCAAGTCAATTTCATTCTATCAAGGCTTGTTTTTAAGCTTTATTATGATGTGCCCAGAGGAACCTTTTTTCTCACTATAATTTCACGCACAGATAAGCATTTTTGTAAATATTAAAGGATATCTCCTATAGATCTCTACAGCTTTCCCTCTACATAGCTTTCTCCTCTCCAGTACACTACCATATAAACTTTAAGAATTTATTCTCCTTTTTAGTTCGAACCTCAGCCTCAATTCAGTGACAACATTGGGTTATGTTTTAATTGCTCTTTTTGCACTGTTAGCATGGAAATTTGACTGAAGCAACAGAAATTGCTATTCCCTTTCTTCATTTAATAAACATTCATTGAACAATCACTGTATGCCAGGCACTGCATGAGGCACTAAGTACAGCAAAGCAGAAAAATTCCCAGCCCCGTAAAACTTACATTGTAATGTTTTACAAGAGAAGAGAATATACTGGAAAAATACCTCTAGGAGACACAGAGAAAATATGGGATATTTAGGAAATGCAAAGAGTCAAGAAAATAAGCAGGAGCCAAGGTCATGCACAGGCACAAAATATGCCAAACATGGAACTCTTACTGAGATCAATAGGCCTCTACCCATTTCATGTTCTTGTATTATTTTCTCAAGCTTTGAAATTTTAGAAGAAACCATTTTATCTGACAAAAATCTCAGTCAGTTCTCCCCCTGCACTCCTACTGTGTCCTCAAAGGCAGGGAGAGGAAGGATAAAGATCCCATCATTTCTGCAGCAGAAATGAAGCATTATTTTTACAAAGGTGTCACATGATCAGAAATAGGATCATAGAGATTAGGAAGGAGAGAGAGGATAAGATGCTGAACAATGAGAATAATGACAAAAGCCCCCTACAGTTGCATAGGAGATTTGAGGTACACAGAAATGGCAGCAGGAAGGAAGCAAAAGAAGGTAAAAGCTGCCTTCTAGAGTCAGGGAAAGAAGAATAAAGTTCAGTTATTCTTTAGCAGAGACAAAGTGAGCATCGGGAGAGGAGAGGTGAGTTCTGAGCCACTGGAGTGAATGTGGTGTCACTGGCGTGGCTGCAGGCTAACTAGACCTACTGCTGTGTTTTGGACATCGGTGACTCCCGTTCTCACTACCCAGGACTGGGTTCATGGCAGATATGACACTTTTCTCTCCTTTTTTCTTATTCCCATATGCATTTGCAATGAACCCATCCTTAAACAGAGAAACTGGAGTGTGTCTGTTACCTGACATGGGAAAGGGCTAAAGAAATCCTCCTCTGCTAAATAAGAGGAAATTAGTCTGAGATCAGAAATGCTGCAAGTTTTCCAAACTGCATGGATGGCTTAGTCCCAGTGACTAGGAGATCCCCGTTTAATCTTACTGGGAATTTCACATCTTCCCAGCTTGGGTTTACTCTCCTTGGATTTTGATTTCAGGGATGTAACAGAAGGTAGCAATGATTTGACTATTGTTTCTGCATTGAATTCCCATCAGGTATGGCGCACCCAAAATATGTCAATGGGCATGGGATTTGTTGCTCTAATATTTAGAGTAATTAAGTGTCTAATCTAATTAAGTGATTTTTCAAAATGCATACAATTTTTGCCATTTCACTAGGATGAGCAGTGGAATTTCTCTCCAAAAAACCAATTCCCCCTTTAAGCACAATCAGCTGTGAATCAGGAGTCATGAAGTAGTGAGGACAATTAAAATCAATGACAATATTTAGTTTCCTGCCAAGAGCATCTTGCCCAGTTAACAGACTGCACTCAGATGCCTGTGGTGCACCAAGAACACCCTGGGCTAGCCGGCTGCTCAGCTGGGGGACGCACTAATTGCTTTTATTAATGAGGAGAGCTCCCTTTCCTCCACTGGTATTCCTTGAACTTCCTCGGGCTTGGTTGGTGAAGCATGACTTCTACAAGCCAAACTCCACTTACAGGAGTTCTGTACTCATCAAAATCAGCAGAGCATATTTTGCAAGCAGAAACAGGAAAGAAAAAAAAATTAGGTTTGAATTCCTAATAATTCTTTCAATGTAAATGTCTCAAGTTAGAAATATGACATTTTGGAGTACAAAATCAAGTTTTTATTAAATGAATTTAATACCATGTCTCCTGCAAGTTCTAAATGTTAGAACATAGTAGTTAGATACTAGGTTTGAAGAATGGTGGATTTGGAGTCCAAAGACCAGGACTCCTGTGCACTTGCTGAGAGGCACCCATCATTTCACTTGGTATTACTGAACTTTAGTCTCTTCTTTTTGAAAAGTAGATGTTCCAGGGTTATACTGTCTCAGAGTTCTGCAACTAAGATTAAATAAGACACTGCATTTGAGTAATCTATTAGGCAGTTCTAAGAGAATTGACTCTGAAATAGAAGGTGCTTGCCTATGTTCTCTGTGTTTATGCTACCAGAAATTCTATTACCCATCAGTGGGTATTGAGTACCATATGCCCACATCACACTGGCCAAGGGCTGTCAATCCCTGTGTCTGCTCAAGTCAGTGGCTTGTTAAACAGAAAGGCTAACACCTTTGCTAATCGAGCCATGGAAAGTTCAAAGGAGGATACTCATCTGTTCTTATTTCTATGATCTGCCATCCAAATGGAATGAATTATTTCAAGGGGGATTTTTGCCCTCGTAATATGTTCCTTCAAAATAATCTCCTCCCTCCCAATTTGAATAATAATGCAGGAAAAGAAAGCACTGTGTCGGAAACAATATTGCAGATACGTGATAAAGTGGACAAGGAGAATATAAAATGATAGAATGAAGAGGAGATGTTGATAATGGTAGATATAGGCAAGAAAATTGTGGGAGATTGCGGAAGGAATAAGTAGCAACAAAGGAAGTAGCATTCTAAGAGAGAGGTGCTAATTTAGCAAGGAAGATCAACAGACTTAAAATCAACTAGAAAACCATCTTGCCAAGAGATGATTTTGGATGACAAACCAATACCTAGATCTATGTTGATCCCTATGTGTGGAAAGAGGGATGGTCTACATATGATACCTCTGTAAGTATATTTATCTGATACTTTCATAATGTATTATTTATTCTACCAAGATCATGTTTATTACAGACTGTCTCATCTTGGAGTTCTTTATGCCCCTGTCTGTCTCCTTTACTCCAGAGTGGATGGTCATGGTCCAGAGCCAGGTTTTATTCCATTCTGTATTATCAGCAGCAACTAGAACAGTGTTTATCACACTCTAAAGGTTTAACAAAATTTTAGAGTAAATTGAATTATTTGGGGACTTTATTATCTCTCATATGTGTTTGTATGTGTTTTTTTTCCCAGAAAATTTCATCCTGAGTAAATGTCTCAAGTTAGAAATATGACAGTAATCCTCCAAATACCAGGAAGACAATTCTGATAATCTGTTTTCAACAATCCCTGGGAATAATTACCTGTGTATTCTTGATGGGGGCTTATCTTTCAAACTAAGAGAATAAGGACAGAAAGTGTGGGGTGTTTTTTGTTTTTGTTTTTGTTTTGGTACTAGGGATTGAACCCACGGTACTCAACCAGATCCCCAGCCTTGTTTTGTATTTCACTTAGAGATAGGAGCTCACTGAGTTTCTTAGCACCTCATACTTGCTGAGGCTTGCTTTAAACTTGTGATTCTCCTGTCTCAGCCTCCCAAATCACTGGGATTACAGGTGTGCTCCACTGTGCCCGGCTAAGCATGGGTTTTAAATTCAGGTGGTAATTATCCTTGCTGGAGAGAAGAACAGGTAGATGCATAGTGTTGTATATATCAAAGAACTACAATGCAGGCCACAACTCTTGCCCCTTAAAAATTTTTAAATCTATCTGTAGAAGAAGAAAAGATAACTGAAACAATGAAATGACTAGGAATATAAGCAAGTCACACACTTTCTCACATGATGGAGATACAATGAATGATAGAAAGGTAAGATTTTTCTCCATCACCAAACCATTCCAGCTTATCACTACCTACTCTTGTTAAGTTATCCTGAGGGAAGACTTTTAGTCCAAAGTTCCCTGATTAGTTTTTCTCTCCCTGTTTGTTTAAAAGTGTCCTTTAGCTTTGAGGTAAGATGATGTGGCAGAAGTTGGTAGGATGGTTAGCCTGCGTCACTGGGCTCCATCCACTGAGACACCTTTCAAAGACATTGGAGAGGCAGCCTTTGGAAGCCCGGCATGGTCTGTCTTAATGGAGAATATCATAGTTTCCTCATACAAATGATAAAACTGATTTTCTTCTTCTTACTCATTTGTGACAGTTCTTCCCTCATATTGTGAATGTGTGTAAAGGTCAGAGAGTGACTGTGAAAATGGTGACTTCAGACAGATGGGCTGAAGGTTGAAGACTGAGCATGTCTGACGCACTTGGCATTTCCACACACGCTGTCTGCACTTACTCTGGCTCCTCGGCCTGGAGGAGGTGCCTCTCCTACGTACCACTTTCAGTTCTCTTTGTCTTCATGGTGCTTTCTGTTCTCCAGAGCTAGAAGATATCAGGAATCAGTTTTTATTAAGGGGGGCAATAGTAAAGAAGGAAAAAAAATGAATTTCTGATTCTGTGAGGACAGAAAGCTGTCTATAGGAGGCACTGAATACTTTTAATGTTTTCTTCATTTTTCTAAATCCAAGTAAGGAAAGTAAAACACCTGAGAACGAAGGTTCAGAAAGTCACATCAAGCAAGGACTTCACCTATTTCACAATTTTGTAAGTCAGTTGGCTGTGTTCACATTTGAAGTTGCTTGTAGATTGTGCTTATGCCAGATCAAGCGACTGTCATTAGAGAGGTTAATATTGAAAGCTCATGGGGTATTTTGAAACAGTGGGAAAACTTGGAAGGAAAAAAGGAAGGAGGAAAAGAAGAGAGGGGAAAAGAGAGGCAGGGTGGAGAAAAATTTCTGGGTTTTGAAACAAAAATTTTGAAATTCATGTACATTCTTTTTCATATTTTAATCTGGGAACATGAATTTTTTAGAAAAAGATCGACTAAATTAACATTGTCAATTAAATATGTACAAGAGAGATCTTTAATTACTAGGTTTGTCTCTTTCTCCTATTCCTGCCATCATGACAGTAAACATAAGACCTGCAAGACTATATAGATAGCCTGGAGTGGTGGCGCTTGCTATAATCCCAGCAGCTTGAGGCAGGAGGATTGTGAGTTCAAAGCTAGCCTCAGCAATGGCAAGGCAATAAGCAACTCAGTGAGACCCTGTCTCCAAATAAAATATAAAATAGGGCTGGGGGTGTGGCTCAGTGGATGAATGCCCCTGAGCTCAATTCCTGGTACCAATAATAATAATAATACGAAAAATACTATATAGATAGAGGCTAACACAGTAGTCTTTGGGAGTAGCTTCATGGGTTCCAGTTACAATCAATTTCTTACTTAATGAGTGACTCATCTTTGTCTGTTACTTTATGACTCTGTCCTTCAGTTTCCTCAGTTATAAATCTGGAATGTGACTATAATACTTTACTCAATAAGATTATTGTAGTGGTCAAGTGCAATAATACGCGCAAAGTACCCAGAGACTGGCACATAGCAAGTGCTCAATAGGTTAGACACCCACTCTCGGTTCATTTACCCCTCTGCACATCTCTCTTTTCCTTTTCAGCAACTTAATTCCTGACCCTTGGTCTTCTATTGCACACAGAATGATTATATTTTCCAACAATTAATCGTGGTATTCATGGATTCTATAACATCAATAATCCTTCCATCTTTCTTCCTCTGTAACCTTGTTCTTTAACAACAACTTGGGAATCTACAATTCACATTAAAAAAAAGTTAATAGATTGAAAGAAGATACCTATAACCTATATTAACAAAGGGACAGTGAACAGAAATATAAAGGCTTCCTACCAACTGCCCAAAGAAAAAAATTCAATAGGAAAGTGGACAAATTGAATAAAGAAACAACTAATAGAAAAGTAAAATGAACTATCAAAAAGATATATGAATGTAATCAAGAAGTTCAGCAATAGTGAAGCATTCCATACTCCAGAGATGGGCAATAGCTCAATGTCTAAATTGACCAAATGCTGGTGAGGATTTTGATAAGAATGCTCATATGGCTCTGGTGTAAATTTAAATTGGCACATATACTGGATATACATACTTTGCAAGAACTCTTTGACAATGCCCATTAAAGCTAAAGATGGAAGGATCTGAGCACTGGACACCACTGAGTGCCTATCACCATGCTTCTCCAAACCCTGGCCTATCTAACAGCAGCCTGATTTTCTTTGCCCAGCCATTCCTGCTTCAGTACTGCCATGTGTTACATCAGAAGAAAATGACCCCTCCAGTTCCAGAAATGGGCTTGATTTTTTTTCTAAAAGGAGTTACATAGTCATTAGCAGTGACCCAACTGCTAATAGATTCTAAAGGGAAGTCTTTGGGGCATGTTCTGGAAAAAAAGATTATAATTCTTAAGAGATCGCCTTAGGAGAAATAGCCATCCCTCTTCTGCACACAATTGTTTTTGGATGTCATGTTTGCAAATGATGTGACCATTTACTACCAGCCTGACAAGGAAGCCACATGCAGGATGGCAGGATGGAAGATGGAAAGGAATGGTTTCTAGATAACCTGATTGAGCTTTGAATAAAACAACCCTAAATCCCAACTCAAACCCAAACCACCTTTCAAGTAAAATAATAAATGTTTTTATTTCTTAGCCAGATTGAACTGAACATTTTGCTCTTTATTGAAAAAAAATTCAATCTATTTCTAGGTACAAAGCCTACAAAACACTGACTCAGGTATAGTACACATGGTTATATATACAAAGATGCATTTGCAGTGATCTTTATAAAATACACAAAATGGAAACAATCAAATTGTTTATCTTCATTTGAAGGTTAAATACATTGTAGTCTAATTATACCATGGAGAACCATAAAGCAATTAAAGTGTTAAAAGGAATATATTTGATATATTTTATAGATATGGATATATACCAAAATTATAGTATAGAATTCTAAAAGTTACTAACAATATGTACAATATAACATTTGTGTAAACTATACAAACACACAAAACAATACTATTTTGTGCCAACTGGCATAAGCATATGGAGTAAACATATAAAAAGTGATTAATAAGAGCACATAAACTCATAATAGAGGAAATGAACAGGAAATGCTAAAGTTATAAAGAGAATTTCAAGTGTACCTAATATTTTATTTCTTTTAACAGAGACGAAAACCACATCTGAAGAAATGTTAGCATTTGCTAGTTCGGCTTAATGACAACATGAGTGTGTCTAATTTTACTCTCTGATTTTCTCTATGCATAAATAATTTATAATAAATATGTTTTAAAATAAAATTTTAAATAAAGAAAATTAGGAAAAAAAGAAAAGAGATATAGAAGATGAAACTGGGGGCTGGTTATCTTTCACTATTCAATTTAAATAGTTCTTTATTCTTTCAGAACAGGATATACAGTCAATCAATAAATATGTGAAAAAATGTTCATCATCTCTAGCAATTAGAGAAATGCAAATCAAAACTACTCCAAGATATCATCCCACTTTAGTCAGAATGGCAGCTATTACGAAGACAAACAACAATAAGTGTTGGCAAGGATGTGGGGAAAAGGGTACACTTGTACATTGCTGGTGGGACTGCAAATTGGTGCAGCCAATATGGAAAGCCATATGGAGATTCCTTGGAAAACAGGGAATGGAACCACTATTTGACCCAGCTATCCCTCTCCTCAGCCTATACCCAAAGGACTTAAAAATAGCATATTACAGGGACACAGCCACATCAATGTTTATAGCAGCACAATTCACAAAAGCTAAACTGTGGGACCAACCCAAATGCCCTTCAGTAGAGGAATGGATTAAAAAAATGTGGCCTATATACACAATGGAATATTACTCAGCAATAAAAGAGAATAAAATCTTGGCATTTGCAGGTAAATGGATGGTGTTGGAGAAGATAATGCTAAGTGAAGTTAGAGAATCCCAAAAAGACAAATGCCAAATGTTTTCTCTGATATAAGGTGACTGACTCATAGTTGGGTAGGGAGGGGGAGCATGTGAAGAATAGATGAACTCTAGATAGGGCAGAGGGGTGGGAGGGGAAGAGGGGTGAATAGGGCGTTAGCAATGATGGTGGAATGTGATGGACATCATTATCCAAAGTACATGTATGAAGACATGAATTGGTGTCAATATACTTTATATACAAACAGAGATATGAAAAATTGTGCTCTATATATGTAATAAGAATTGTAATGCATTCCACTATCATGTATTTAAAAAATAAAATCAATTATAAAAAGAAAAGAAAAAGAAGCATTTTGTTGATAATACCTTTGAAAGAGAATTTTGAAGAGGAACAAATTCAGTCTCTTGTTCGGACCCCTTCTGTTTCAGACCTTCAACTTCCTGTTTGTGGGACCTTCTTCTCTAGGGAGACTGAACCATAAGTTGAATCACCTTAACTGTCTCCACAAAGGAATTCTCAGCTTCCTATGTGCCTTTGAGAAGTTGAGGATAGGTTGAAAATAAATACTGGCAAATGAAACTGCTTGAGAACAGACACTCCTTTTTATCCTCCCTGATGACATATATCTTCCCTCCCTAGCTCAAACCTACAATCCAACACCTCTTCCTAAACCCAGTTATGGAGAAAATAATTGCCACAGTACTCATTTACTGTGGGCCTTATCCATCCTTGACACATTTCCACATGTTTTGGGTGACAGCCTTCCCTGCTGAAGCTTTCATTCCTACCCATACACTTTGCCTCTCAAATATAACACTCTCGTTCCACCCACATCCTCTGCCCCACACCAGGCTCCACCTTTCCTATTGGACTTCCCTATTTGATTGCATCAAGCTGAACACATTGTTTCATCCACAAAAGGATTAGCCTGATGGGGTTGATACTAGTAATCTATAAATGGAAGCTATACAAGATGGAGGAAGCATGGCTAGGACTGATCATTACAGTTCCTTCAAAGAAGACCTTAAATTTTGGACTCTTTTCTCATTGGGCCTGAAACTTTTGACACTCTTCTCATTGAGAGCTGGAGTCCATAGCTTATCCTTATTTTAGATATGTATGGATTTTATGACTGTTTGACTTAGAAAACATGGCAAATGTTCAGACTGTGAGAAACCCTGAACTTAAAGCTTAAAATGACTGGTGACTTCCACTTCCTTACCTTTAGCTGTCTCTTCAAGTCCTACCACCACATAAATAATTCAACTGCCTCATGGCCACCATGCTGGGGAGGACATGAGGTAGTTGGGGGTCCAGTTGCCAGTCTCGGAATAAACGTCTACCAACCATCCCTGTCAGGTGCCAGACTTGTGACCATCTATGACCCTCTCAACTAGCTCACTCACCACAGAACCACTGAGTTGGTCATCATTATGTGGAACAGAAGAGATACACTGAGCCCTGCTCCAATATCTGGGCCACAAATTGTGAAATATAACAAGTTGTTTTAAAACACTTAA